GGATAGGATTTACTCATTTGGAAAAATATGGACTTATTAGAAATAGGCAACATGGCTTTATGTGGTCGTGCCTCACAAACCTTTTGAGAAAGTGACAAAGATGATTGATGTGGGCAGAGAAGTAGATGTTGTCTATGAGGACTTTAGCAAGGTCGTTAATAAGGTCCCTCATGGCAGGCTGATACAAAAGGTGAACTCACATGGGATCCGTGGTGAGTGGGTAAGATGCATAAAAAACGGGCTTAGTCATAGAAGGCAGAGAGTAGCAGTGGAAGGATGTTTTTCTGCCTGGAGATCTGTGACCAGTGCTGGGACCCCTGTTGTTTGTTAAATATATAAAAAATTTGGAGGAGACCGTAGGTGGTCTAATTAGTAAGTTTGTAGATGACACAAGGATTGGGGGAGCTGCGGGTAGTGAGGAGGATTGCCAGAGGATACAGCAGGATGTAGATGGGCTGAAGACTTGGGCGGAGAAATGGCAGATGGAGTTGAATCCAAACAAGTGTGAGATGATGCATTTTGGAAGATCTGATGCTGGAGGGAAGTATACAGTAAGTGGTAGAACCCTTAGTTTGCATCAATATACAGAAAGATCTAGGCGTACAGTTGACAGTTCCCTGAAAGTAGCAACACAAGTGGATAAGGTGGTCAAGAAGGCATATGGCATGCCTGCCTTCTTCATTCGGGGCATAGAGTATAAAAATTGACAAATCATGTTGCAGCTATATAGAACTTTAGCTAAGCCACATTTCAAATATTATGTACAGTTCTGGTTACCACACTACCAGAAGGATGTGCAGGCTTCAGAGAGTGTACAGAAATGGCCTACCAGGATGTTGCTGGTTTGGACGTTATTATGTGTAAGGAGAGATTGGACAAACTTGATTTGCACAGAATGGATAGTTGGCATCTTTTTCCGGGTAGAAATGTCCATTAGCAGTGATTCATTCCCCCAGACAGGCGTTTACCCACTCCTTTGTCTGTTCAACTGTCTTTCTCTGTCTTTGGGTTCTTTATCCACCTATAGTTTACTCTTCCCCCTCACCTCACCCAACTTTAGCAAAAATACCAATTTTTTTCCTAGCTACCATCAGTTCTGATGAAGAATCACTGGACTGGAAATGTTAAGTCTGATTTCTCTCCACAGATGCTGCCAGACCTTTGAGTTTTTCTAGCAATTTGTTTTTTTTTTCTGACTTCCATCATCTGCAATTCTTTCGTTTTTTTTTGTTGTAGAAATGCCCATTACTCCGGAACATAGGTTTAAGGTAAAAGGGGGTAAGTTTAAAGCATGTGAGAGGCAGGTTTTTTGCACAGGCAGTGGTCAGTGTCTGGAATATGCTGCCAGAAGAGGTGGTAGAGGCAGATACAGTAACAATGCTTCAGAGGAATGTTGACAGATACATGAATACGCAGGGAATAGAGGGTTATGGATTGTGTAGAGGCAAAAGGTTTTTAGTTTAGAAAGGTGTCATGTTTCGGCACAGGCTTCATGGGCCACAGGGTGTATTCCTGTGCTATCCTGTTCTTTGCTCCTGCTCCTGCTCACCATTTCCCACTCGCTGTGCACGTCTGCCAACCCTCCCATTCACTGACTCTCCAGACCTTGCAATTCGCCATTTCTTTCCCTCGATCCTCCCACTTTCCTCTTTCTTCCTTTAACTCTCCTGCTTACTCCCTCCACTGGACAGTTAGAAGTGGGAAGCAGCAAGTGGCTGAATAAGGGGGCTGGAAGCAGTCAGTGAAAGGGTTGGGAGTGGAAAGCAGCAAGTGGGATGGCTGAGGAAGGGAGCTGGAGATTTGTTTTAAAAGAAGACTGTTACGGTAAATGCATTTGAAATAAACTAATTAATGATGGCATTTAACAATTTAGCATTTGTAGCTCTATCCGTATAAATGTTGAGAACATGATTCCCTAGTGGGGGTATTTTGAATGAAGAGACAAAGTTACAGAATAAGATGAGATTCATTTAAAACTGAGATGCGAAGGAATTTCTTCTTAAGAGAGTAGTGAATGCCTGGAAATTTTTATGCCAGAGGCTAATCACTGGAGGCTAGATCACTGAACGTGTTTAAAGAGGAGGTAGATATATTTTTGAAGTATCAGGGAATTGAAGGCTATGAGGAGCTGGCATGAACAGTCTACTCCTGCTCCTATTTCTCATGTTCTTATCTTATCCCAGGTGTGTAAGTATTTTAACATTGTGATGGGGGTTTGGTAGTCATATGCATTTAATTGATTTCTTTCAAATTATATATTTCCTTGTTACTTTTAGCCATTGTGAATCAGTGTTTTCTCAATTAGCAGATGGAAAGAAAATGGTGATGGTGATGGGATGGAAGTAAGGTCTGTTATTAGTTTACATTAGTAAATAAAAGCAGGGAAAGAACTATACGATGTTGAGTCCCTGTAGTTTTAGAATGTTCTTTAAATGGGGGATAGCCACAATGCTTGTACTTTTTTAAAGTACTCCAACATAAAACACTCACATTTTGTTTTAAAAGCTAGTCAGTTAGATCAGGGAATCTCTATTTGTCCTGCCATTTATATCATGCCTATGACATGTTACAATATCCCATTGTATTTCATAGGAGCACAGGAGAGGAAATATTACCACAAGCCAAAGAGTTAACTTTTAAGGAAGATCTTAAAGAAGAAGAGATAGGTGAAGAGGTTTTAGGAGGGAATTCCAGAGCTAAGGGCTAAATGCACAGTCACCAAAGGTGGAGCAGTTAGAATTGGGAACAAGCAAGAGGCCAAAACTAAATTTTTGGAGGGTTGTAGGGCTAAAGAAGATTAGAGGAAGAGGAAGATAAAGCTAATACTAAGGAGAAATCTGCAGTCAAGGATAGTAATTTTAAATTCACAGCATTGTTGGATCAGTGACCATCATCTGTCAGTAATGTTCTACAAATGGTACGTGGTGCAAATTAGGGTATGGACTAGACAGTTTTGAGTGAGCTGATATTTCTGGATTGAAGAACATGTGAGACCAACCATGAAAACATTGAAATAGCCAAATTTCAAGGTTATCAAAGCACGCATTAATCGTTCAGCAGCTGGTCTGAGACATGGCCACTAACATGCCCTGCTTACTGTCAAACAGACCCAGGTCTATAAAAACCTAAATCACTTATAATTGAAAGATTATTGTTAATTGATAGAAGTCATGTAATTTATAAGCTATAAAAATGTAATTCTGGTGATAGGAAATGTACCTATATTAACTTTTAGTTGAACACTGAAATTTATTGATGGTCTGCTTATTGGGTGAAATGTTAGCCTCTACTCTCACGCAAATCAATGAAAAGAGATATTGTTAAAACCTTCATTTTCACTTGTGTGTGGGAAGATAAATCATGAAATATGAATATTATTTCCAGAAATAACATTTTATGAAGCAGTCATTTTAGGATATGAAATGTTGTGGGATATAACATATACATATCACCTATATTGCTTAACTATCTTTGCACAATTATGATAGATTCTGTGCAGCTCTGCACCCTCGATAGAGACAAAATATACAGCAGAGACCATTGCGATGTTAATGTTTAACTTCAAGTATGAAGCCCCTTTTTAAAGATGTTCTGAATATTTACAATTCTACCAGTGTGCTGAATTACTCTATATTTACAAACTTATGTTTTACCTCAAAAAAGACAGTTCTCAAAGAATTAGCTGTCTAATTCTACAGCTTATTTGACTTCAGATGTTGATGAATGTTGTGAATTGTTTGGGCTGTTGTGGTGGAATTTCTTATAGCTGTCAAAATGTGAGCAGAATTTTCAGAGCAAGTCGATGGCGGCATATTGGTCTGAGATATCACTTCATTCAGAGGGAAGAATTCTGATTAAAAATATGTTTTTTTCAGCTTTGTAATTACAGAGCATCAGATAGGCTCCAAAAGCCTAAAGGAAGAGCTGTGCAAGTATAATAACATTAGGTTAACTTTGTATAACAGAGATATTCGCTCTACTTAGTGCCCTCGTCACTTGACTACAAATGAATTCATCTGAGTAAGACCATTCTAACTATCTCATGAATTGTCTATTAAATAAACTTCATTCAGTTTCTTCAGTTGTGTATCATGAAGAATTGCTACACTAGCTAGCTTTATCTTCACACAATTTATTTTTATAATCTTTAAGCATTATATGGACATTTGATTGAACTTATTTCAATATGGGGCTTTGTTTTAGTTACCCTTATCCTGGAAAATAAATTATTTCATGAACTCATCAAGTTCAACATTAATATAATTTCAATCAAAATTACATTTGATTATGGCAGTTAATGTTTGTATAATGTTTCATTGCAGTAAATTGCTCTAAATTGCTCATTATGCCCTTCATTTTATCAAATGCAAAACTTTTGAAACTTCACTTTCTCTATTTCAAGTTTTACACTCAAACTGTTTAACTCCAACATGACCAACTATTCCAAGACCAACACAATTAGTATTTAATTGGGAAAAACTGAACAGTTTGGAGCATTATAACTTTAAGATAAGAGAAGACATGGAGGTGATCTGAGTAGAGATTTTCAAAGTATAAATGAGTTGGACAAGCTAGATATAGAGAGAAACTTTCCATTCATGGAAGGAACCAAAATCTGTGCCATTATTTCAAGATAAAGACATTTCTTCATCGATTGAGCAGTTAGAATATGGAACCTACTACCACAATAGATAGTTGAGACTCAGATGCTTTCAAAAGGAAACTAGACGAGTTTGTCAGAGAAAACGGGGATTGTAGCATATGCTGGAAGGCTGAGTATGATAGATAGAATGGGAGGAGACTTGTGTAGAGTATAAATACAAGAACTACTTGATATAGTCTGTTTCTGACTGCTGTACATTCTGTGTAATGTGGTAAAATTTGTTCTTTTAGCTGTGTAACGCACACAAAAAATGAATGTATACCTGCATTATCTTATTTTAAGTTAAACGTAGTATACAGTTTCAATGGTATTTTCCAATTGTTCTTGCTTTCACCAGGAATGTTTACAAGGATTATCGTTTTTTGGAGCTTGCTTGTGATTCTCAAGAGGAGGTAGAGAGTTGGAAGGCATCATTTCTTCGTGCTGGTGTTTATCCAGAGAAATCCACAGTGAGTTGCTTTTTTTCAAAGAATTAATACAATATAGTTTAGAATGTAGTTCCAAAGTGATTGAATTAGAATGGAATGAAAGTCTACAAGTTTTACCTATACATGTTATGGCACTGTATGAATGTGCATGTGTACATCACCAAATGAGAATACCAAATAAGTGAGTTATTTTAATTATGTTGTCAGCATTTACTTTAACCTCTTAATTGTCATCCAGAAGTAGAAAAAAACTATGGCCAGAAAACGTTCTCTTTGCATTTTCAGGGAATTAGTCTTTTCATAAGGAGTGTCTGAATTTATCTCACCATCTAACATTGTTATTTGTTTGGTTTTTTTTAGTGTAAAGCCTGTTTTCAATGCTGTAAAGCACACCACCTGTGTTTTATATCCGTTTGTAGTCATCACTGTAGTTTTTGTTTTGACAGAAATCTTTAAAGAATGATATGTTCCGTTACAGTAAATGCATTTGAAATAAACTAATTAATGATGGCATTTAACAATTTAGCATTTGTAGCTCTATCCGTATAAATGTTGAGAACATGATTCCCTAGTGGGGGTATTTTGAATGAAGAGACAAAGTTACAGAATAAGATGAGATTCATTTAAAACTGAGATGTGAAGGAATTTCTTCTTAAGAGAGTAGTGAATGCCTGGAAATTTTTATGCCAGAGGCTAATCACTGGAGACTAGATCACTGAACATGTTTAAAGAGGAGGTAGATATATTTTTGAAGTATCAGGGAATTGAAGCCTATGAGGAGCTGGAATGAACAGTCTATTCCTGCTCCTATTTCTTATGTTCTTATCCTATCCCAGGTGTGTAAGTATTGTAACATTGTGATGGGGGTTTGGTAGTCATATGCATTTAATTGATTTCTTTCAAATTATATATTTCCTTGTTACTTTTAGCCATTGTGAATCAGTGTTTTCTCAATTAGCAGATGGAAAGAAAATGGTGATGGTGATGGGACGGAAGTAAGGTCTGTTATTAGTTTACATTAGTAAATAAAAGCAGGGAAAGAACTCTACGATGTTGAGTTCCTGCAGTATTCCAACTTAGTGAAACCAGTGATAGTCAAAACAAATACTGTCTATGAAAAGTTGACAAGAATCGTTCACATCAAAATTTAGTTTTTTTTTCACTTCGTTGTAATTTGCAATTGTCAGAAGCTACCATAGAGTTAAATTACTATTTTGTGTGTATTTTTTTAAGGAAAGGGTAAATCAATGAAGTAATTGTTCAGTCATAGTTCATCTTCTGGTTTGAATTTCACTATTAATGCACAGTTTAAAACAAAATGTTTGATGTCCATACTCCGATGTAAATGCTGAATAATTGACCACTTATATTGCTTGATGATTTTAACCTTTGTGGGTTTAATTTAAATATTTCTGTTGGAACAATTTTGATGTAGTTTCTGGAATTTCATCTTGAGTTGTGTTCCCTTGGTGTTTGTTCTTTACTTTTTATATTTTACAGTATTTTTATATTCTTAAAGCCCTATTAGTTCTTCAAACTAAGGCCTAGCTTTCACATTTTACATGAGCTAATTTATCATGCTTAGTAATGGCTTGTGTAAGGTTGTGATGTAATGTAAAATAAAATGTTGCCAATGTTGTTTTTAGAATTGGGCAATTATAGCACTTTTCTCATTACATTTCATATGAAGCATAAAATATATATTTCTGTTAAATAAAAATAATGTAACATTTTCAAAAGTTTAGTTGCAGCTCATTTTCTCAACATTATAATCTGTTACATTTTATAAAAATACTGTGCAATTCAGCTTCTTATACCTCCTTTATGCTATTTTTAATTATAATGTATAAATAATTTTATAATTTCTGTAAACTGTTGCTAGTACTGTTTCACAAAGAGAAAGGTTACATTGTTGAAAGTATTTGTTTATTGTCAATAAATGAAGTAAAATATAAGTAAACAAAAGTATTTGGAATTTGATAAATTGAAGTTAGAATGCTTCCGTTTGCTGTGTGGTATCACCAATTTTCCCTGTGGACAGTACTTCCAAGGAAATTGTCGCTATTTTCTAGGTAGTTGTGGAGATGACATGAGCCTGCAAAAGAGTCATTGATAGGTGAAGTGAGTGGACAAAAATTTAGCAGCTGGTTACTAATGTTGCTAAGTATGAACTTGTCCACTTTGGTAGGAAGAATAGAAAAGCAGCATATTCTTCAAAAGCGGGGAGATTGACAAACTTTGCAGCACAGAAGAAATTCTGGTAAAAGAATCACAACAAGTTGGCATTCAGGTATAACAAGTGATTAAGAATACAAATGGAATATTGTCATTTATTGCAAGTGGAATATGAAAGCAAGGAAGTTTTGCTGCAGTTGTACGGGATTTGTATGGTACTGTGTATAGTTTTGGTTTGAGCTTCAATGAAACGTCTGAAAATGTTACATCATTTTTATTTAACAGAAATATATATTTTATGCTTCATATGAAACGTAATGAGAAAAGTGCAATAATTGCCCAATTCTAAAAACAACATTGGCAACATTTTATTTAAGAAAGAACATAATTGTGTTAAAAGCTGTTCCAAGATGGTTAGATAGTTTGGGCCTGTATCAATTGGAGTTTAAAAGAATGAAAGGTGGTTTAGGTGGATGCTGAAATGATGTTTCCCCATTTGGGGGACACTGGAACTAAGGGGCACTATTTAATAATAAAAGGTCTCCTATTTAATATGGAGATGAGGAGAACTTTTATTATCGAAAGGTTGTAAATTTGGTGGAATTCTCTCCCTTAGACAGCAGTGGAGGAAGGGTCATTGAATATTTCTAAGGATGAGTTCGATAGGTTCTAGACTACTGAGAGAATAAATTATATAGGAGGTAGACAGGAAAATAGAGACCACAACCATATCAGCCATGACCTTATCAAGTGGCAGAGTATGGTTCAAATAGCCGAACGGCCTACTCCACCTATTTCGTACATACTTAACATAGTTTTGTTTCACTTATATATATTCATTTGTAACCTTGATTACACCATATATTCTCAAATGCATTTTGTAGCCAAGGAGATTTTTTTTCCACCATTGTGATTTGAAGTCAAAATTTATTTGTAAGTCATATTCCATCCCACCTTTATTTCCCTTGTGCTCAATCACAGTTTGCCAGCACATGATCTCACTTCAAATTCATGTTTCATCTTTTGTCCTTTTTCTGCATAAATGTAAATACTAAACACTGAGAAAGTTTGTTATATTTTCACTATTTACAGCTATGGTATGTGGAACTTATGGTCTAAGACTTAACCATTTTGCCAGTTAAAAATGATACTAACATTAAATTTCATTATTTAAAATGAGCACTTCTTCCAACTTATTATATTGTATACACTGCTGGAGGTGTAGTCTCCTCTACTCCGTGCAAACCAAAGACAAATTGATTAACCCTTTTGTAAACAGTTTAATTCAGCTGGCAAGCTTGCCATTTGTTTGCCACTGTAAGTCTCCATTCCACTGCCACTCTGGCATCATTATTCTTACACAGTCCCTTTGAAGCTCAACGCAAGCTCAAGTAAGAGCATCTAATTTTTCTGCTAAGCACTTCACTGGCCTTATCTTTGAAGTTAAAAACTTAGGACTTTAACTACTGATCCCTTGGACAGCAGGTGCTGATAACAGGCTGGCTGCCTGAGAATCATTGAGAATCAAGGATGAATGAGATAGTGCTTTGCTGTGTCTATATCAGTATACAGCTGGTGGGTGGTCCATAGTTTTACTTACTGTCTTGTGCCACATTCATGGATCACAGAAGCCTTTTTCCTTTTTGCCAGATCTTTAATGCCTCCTTCCCCTCTGCTATTCAACTGTAACCATTGGCATTTCTCTGGATGTATATTCTATTTGGCACCCATGTTTGCTTAGCAATATCATCTTTTCTGATATTTAATAAATCCGACCCCTCCCCTGCCTTATCACATACCTTTATCTTTTTCCTGACTCTAACAACCATTCCCACCCAACCCCCACAACAAATTCCTGCCTTTACCACAGCTGTAGACCTGAGTACATCTGTGAATCTCCAGCATCTCTAGGTTCTGATGAGGTGTCACTAACATTAACTTTATTTCTCCCTCTGTGAATGCTTCCTGACTTGCTAAGCAATTTTACCATTTTCTATTTTAATTTGAAATTATTCAACAACATAAAAAAATAAAATTCATAGCATCTATGAGGGCTGTGGAGATAGTAAAACTTTGTTAACAATTAAAAATATACAGACATGTTGAGTCCATTGACTATTTTCTTTGTCTGAAAGTTCTTGTATTGGACTCTGATACAGAATAGACCAGCCCTGACCATATTTCTGAATCTGAACAAGCAAAATTACATTTAAACAATGCTATTTTACTCATCGCTGCCATGTGAACTTTGACCAGCTTACCTGACAACTAAACATCTTTAGTGGTGGTTTGAAACTGTGGATTTTAGTAGCACTGTTTATTATATCATGCTGCATAATGAAATTTCTCCAATTCTGACTTCCTCACATCTATACAAGGTGTCATTATATCTTACATATCCAGGACCTCAGTTAAAAGTCATGTTGACCATTGGTTTTGATTGATAAATATTTTTGACACAACAACTCTATAAGAAAAAGATGCTGTGATAGATGTTATTATAGTGCCTGACCTCTAATTGTATGTGTTTTTGTTTTCTGCACAGCCTGAGAATGAGGAGACAGGTGCAGATAATTTTTCTGTAGACCCTCAACTGGAGAGACAAGTCGAGACCATTCGCAGCTTAGTAGAGTCATACATGTGCATCATTAACAAGACCATACGGGATCTTATGCCAAAGATAATTATGCACCTTATGATAAATAGTGTGAGTTTTTCTCTGGTTGTACAATTCAAGGAAAAATGAATATGGACACTGGTTTACGATGTATTCTATAATGAAGTTAACCTATTTTTTTAAAGTTTACATATACATAATAATTGTTGCTTTTGCTTTGTAACCATAAAAAAAGTTGTCCTCCTAAATTGCTACAGAAATAGCTAACACATGTATTATACCTTGCTGAGTTATTTAGCTTGGGAGGAAGCCAAATCATTAACAATATCTAAAACATGCTTCCCATCAGGTTTCCATGAGCTCTGTTGTTTTTATTAGCCCAGTAAATGAAATGAATTGTCTCTCAATCATTGAGGGAAAAGATAGATGGCTGGTAGTTTCTATAAAGTGGCATACATCAGTCAGTTGATTGATTGATTGAGAAAGCATTTAATCATCCAACAGTTTGTGATGACTTGATTTGTAGGAAATTGCAGGACCAGAATAGACTCTGCAATCCAACTGGCTGATCCCAAACAAAGAAGGTTCAAAGATCATACAGTTAGATATAATATTAACACATTTCTAACTTCAAAAATGTGAACTTCTTTCAATGTTATATTCACTGAAATCTTTATATGCAATGGATTGTGTAAAATACTATTATTTGTAGAAACGGGGTCAATAAGAACTTTTGAGAAAAGATTTGGAGTGTCAGCAGTAATTCATGGCTGATCTGCTGAGTGTTTCCAGTACTTTTTGTTTTTGTTCCTAACTCTAGGAGTCTTTCCTCTTCTCCAAGAAACTTAGATTGGGTTATCCACACCTTCTCAGCTTTGAAATCCTTCCCCATGTGCAGGGATCAAAATTGGACATGTTTTCTGAGAATTGGTCCAGCAAAGTTTCGTAACTTTGTTTGTTTAACAGTAAGAAAAATATTTTCATTTATATGGTTCCTTTCTGAAATTAAATAATTCTACATCCATTTTTAAAATGTATGGCGTAAGTCAGTGATTCAGCTTGATCTGGTCTATAGTTCATACAATATCTGCTACAAATGCCACATGAGAATATCAGATAGAAGCTGAGCGGAGGTTTTGCATATCCTGAGCGTAAAATATTTGAATAATTTCATAGATACAATGCCTGTCGCTGAAATTGAGATTGCATTGAATGAAATGATCTATAACTTGCTATACTTTTAGAAACTGGCTTTGGAAAGTTCTCAGGGCTAACACTAATGTGGTCAAATAGACAACAAGAGCCAGCTCCCTATTTGATACCAAACATATTGCGACTTAAAATCAAAATTATTTTGACCCATTTGTTCCTACCACATATTGAAACTTGTGGAAATTTAACACTGTCTAGTGTGTCTTTGTGTTTTCTTGTACTTTCTGGTATACTTGATGTACTGTTCGGTCCATGATTGGGTCTTCATCAATGCTGAATCAGACAAATATAGACTTTGAGATACTAGTCAAAGTACTAAATTAACCTTTTAATGTTTCTATATATGACTATATCATCAATTGATGAGATACCTAGACCCTGCATGTTCTTAAAATTCCAGTAAGATCTATCATTGAAAAATAATGATTGCAAATGCACTCAAACCATACTGCATCTAATTTAAAGTTTGCTGTGATCTTAGTGCTGAAGTGACAATTTGACTTTCTTTAACCAGTCTATTTTCAACCATGCCTTGCAATCTTATTCTGAATTGAGCAGCTGGGCTTATATCCACTCTTTTACAAAGTCCATCTGCACCCAGCTCTGTAGCATCAGTCACCATCTATGATTTAGCACTGAAACTCTCATTAATGCCTTTGACACCTCCATACTCAATGTCTGCTGGATAGTTTCTCATTGACCAGCCTCTGCTAATTTCATGTTATCCAAAATTGTGCTCCCTGCATTCCGCTCACGCTGATTTTTACCAGCTCAAGTTCACCCAATGCCTCAAAATTGAAATTGCTGTCCTCAGGCTTGAATCCAACCTGCGCTTTCTTCCTCAAATCTTTAAACTCTTAACACTTCTTAAATTCGCCCTTATTATGATTTCAGCCTCTTCCACATTCATTCTCCATACAGAGCAGGAGAAACTTCTGGCCAAAAGGATGGTTACAATGTAAACCTCATTATCAAAAGGAGTTTTAGAGATGAATAATATGGATACATTTTCAGAGGAAGCTGGATAAACACCTGAAAGTGAAAGGAAGAGAAGGATATTTTCTTCAGATTAGATGAAGAATGGCAGGAGAAAGTTAATGTGGAATATAAGCACCATCTGACCTATTGGATCAAACAGCCTGTTTCTAAGCTGTGTATACTTTAAAAATGGCAGCCATGCTTTCAGCTGCGAAAACCTTCAAATAAACTGTTCTACTTCTATACCTTCCTATTCTCTTTTCAGAAGCTCAAAACTTACTTCTTTGAATAAACTCTTTATTACATCTCCTAATATCTTTGACTTAAAGTCCATTTTTGTTTCCTTGCACCACAGTGAAGGGCCTTGGGCTGATTTTTTACTTTAAAAAAAATCCAAGTTGGAGTTGCAGTATTCTTTATCACTGATACATCTGGTCTATCAATAAAATATAAAACTCCAAGTACATTAGGTAAACCTTGGAGTTTGATTTCCATTAAAGGTCAACTATTTTGACCCAGAAAACGTATACATTTACTCTTTCTTTTCATTTGTTCATGGGATGTGGGATTGCCCATGTCTAATTGCCCTTGAGAATGTGGTGGTGATCTGCCTCCTTGAACTCTTATGGTGGTTAGTTATACCCACAGTACTAATAGGGAGGGACTTCCAGGATTTTAATGCAGCAACAGTGAGCATTGTGTGCGGCTTGGAGGTGACTTTCAGTTGGAGCTGTTCCCATGCATCTGCTGCCCTTGTCCTTCTAGTTGGTAGAAGTTGCAAGTTTGGAAGGTTCTCTCGAAGGAGCCTTGATCAGTTGCTGTGGTGCATCTTTTATATAGTACGCACTATAGGGTGTAACCACACAGTACATTGCTGAGACCACAGGCCTGACAAACAATCAGCTTCGTAGCCCACAAGGCTACTAAAAACTGGAAAGTGTGATTTGTCTGGATTGCTCTTCTTTGGCTAACACAGGAAAGAAGGGTTGAATGGCCTCCATTGTAAATGCTGTAAATCATCTATGCATCTTTGATTTGAATCATAGAATATATGAGTTAATTCTTTAAAGTATTAATTGTGGTGCAAAATAGTAAGATTTTTTGGACTAAATCAGGTAAGATGGGGGACTCCATATTTTGCATTGTTATTGATGAATTGATTTGAGATATGACATGTTTTTTTTAGTTGTTTTTGATTTATTTATTGTCATGTGTATTTTATTACAAAATACAATGAAAAGTATTGTATAATGTCCCTACTGTCCAGCACTATCATAAAACACAGAAAAATAAACCAAAACACGGAATATAAAGGCAGGAAAAATTAAGAAATAAAGAAAAAGTGTCCAACTTTACAGTCCTCCTTGTTAAGTGCTCCATCATGGGCCATGGCCATGGCAAGTTCCCTTCGCTGCCCCACCGCTGCTAGAATGGAAGTCACCACTCTTCAGTGCCATCTCCCCTCCACCATGAGTCCTCTCTGGACCGTGCTAGTTGAGATGCCACTGATGATGCTGGCGGTCCAAATTCGACACTGCCGCCACCATGAGACTACTTTGGGCCCATCTCACCGATGAAGCCGCAGCTGATCTTGTCAGGTCTGGCGCTGCGCCCAAACCCACCTCCACTACAGCCTCCATGAATCTGCGCTGGATGTCACTCGGAACCCAAACTCACCTCTGCCACAGCGTGAGTCAGTGCTGGAGCGGCCTTGTTGATGCAGAACCTCTGACACTGCCGCCACAAATCCTCATTGCTGGGCCCACTCGAGCCTGTGTGCTGGACCGACTCGTCGCCGATGCCATCACTGCAACCGAGCCCTTCAGCAAGAGTTAAGTAAAATAAAAGACAAAATAAGGAAAAGAAAAGAAATGCGGAAGGAGTGGACGAACCATAGAATGACCATAGACCATAGAATCCCTACAGTGTGGAAACAGGCCCTTCAGCCCAACAAGTCCACACCAACCCTCAGAGCATCCCACCCAGACCCATCCCCCTATAACCCACCTAATCTACACATCCCTGAGCATTACGGGCAATTTAGCATGGCCAATCCACCTAACCTGCACATCTTTGGACTGTGGGAGGAAACCGGAGCACCCGGAGGAAACCCATGCAGACATGGGGAGAACATGCAAACTCCAGACAGACAGTCGCCCGAGGATGGAATCGAACCCAGGTCTCTGGCACTGTAAGGCAGCAGTGCTAACCACTGAACTACTGTGCTGTCAAGTGCCAGGATCAGAAGCCCTACTCTACTAGCATCTCATTGAAAGGTTACCTTACATTATGACATGGCTGTAAGACTCCTTCCCTAAGGCTATGAAATTGGATGAGATGGCAGTAGTGCCATGTACGATGCCTATTAATGGCCTGATAGGGAGTTCCCTGCCGCTGGTACTTCAGTAGTGGTGGGGATTGCAACATCCTTGGAAGTTGGATTCAAGCTGACCTGACATGCCCTGTGCTCAGTGGAGGCCACCCCAAATAGGACCCTTAGCCCCCCTCTCCCACCCCTCTCAGTTGTTCATTGCCCCCGTGTCTCTGGGGCTACCAGTCTGCCTGTAGCAAAACCCACTCATATCTGGGTCTCTGCCTAAAATGCCCGTCACTGATGGGCAAATTATTCTGGGAAGAACTGACTAAATTTCACTGACATATCAACAGAGAGGAGTATCAGTTTAATTCCTAGGTTTATCATAGATGGCGCTCGGATTTTGCGAAAAGCAGAAAGATTGAGATTAACTTCAGTCCAATCCATTTTGTTGTAGCAGTTTAAAAATGAGACTTCTAGGTTAATGCCTTTATATTGCATAGATTCTTATTTTCTAATGGTACTGTCAATTTAAATATTAAAGTGAGCAGAGTCAGACATCAGATTCTTGGATCAACGAAATTGA